CAGCCCAGCTTCCCACTGGCCACCCCCACATCCCCAGCCTCCTCCGGCCAGCCCTGCTGTCCCCGCCCCGCCCCCTTCTCCCCTGAATCAAGTGTGACCGGTATTTTTTCTGAAGCTACCTGGTAACCCTACTCTTGTCAATTTAACTCTGGCCCCACTGAAGTCAGTAATAGTTTTATCACTGACTTCAGTGGAAGCAGTTTTAGGGCTCAGTGATATGAAAATCCAACCCTAAAATAATGAAAATTAATCCCTATGTTTTATCAATAATCTCAGCACACTTCTCTGTCAACAATTAAACTCCACCACAATTTTTTTATTTCCTTCAGAACTCCCTGATAAATTCCATCTGCTGCCAAAGGAGTTTGTCAGAGTGTTCTAGAATTCAAATCTGTAATTAACTCCACACTAGCACAGCACTCTGCCTGCATGGAAATGATTGCAAGATTGAAACTTGATTTTTTCTCCCTAACACCATATAACGTACACCACTGTAACGTCGCGTCGGGGTTCCTCCGCCTCCTGCACCCCCGTAGTGGCACGGACGGACTTCACCAGCCGGTAGAATAGAGGGAGTTTATTGTTTTTCCAGGATACCGCACAGCATAGACCTAGGATGCCTCAGCCCCCCTTGAGATGGGGGAGACTGGGCCCCTAAATCCCAGCCCCTTGCTTAGGCTGCTTCCTCCATGATTCCCGACAGGAACTAAAAAACTCTTCCAGCCCTGCTCCCCAGCCAGGTGCTGGTCTCTGCCCTCCTTCCTTTGTCTCCCTCCCTGGGAGGCTGAGCCTGGGTGTCTGGGTTAATACACATTTGGGAGACTCAGTGAGAATCTCCCGTCACAGCACAGGGGGATCCCTGCCACAGAGCAGACAGCACCCCCACTATGCCACACACCACACAGTGATTTAATGTAAAATATGTGTTTGGGTTAAGAATTTCCCATGTACATCTTTTTTAAGATCCTTATTTTTAAAATCTGGCACAATAATGCAAATGACAATGCATGTGAAAATCATTTTAAACAGAACTTAGGAATAACTTGTGGAGTAATGAATCTTTTGTCTAGTGAATTGCTCTCATATACAAAAATTTTAAATGCAATAAACCAATATTTGCGCTCTCTCAGTAAAAAGGATACTAGACTGTCCACAGAATCCATGAATAACATATAACAGCCAGTCATGATGAACAATGTTTTTTACTGAGTCCAGCAACTGACTATTCCACACATACTTTTTATATGGTCCACTGCAAATCCCAAATACACCTAAGAAGTGAAAATGAAAATACATCAACAATAATTTAAAAAAGCTCAACCATTTTGATAATTTCATTTTTAAACAACTGATTATTCTTGGCTTCAATTTAGGAAACCACTTAATTATGTGCTTCAGGACTTTGCTGAAGACGGATGGATTTAGGTACATGCTAAATTTTTATTTTTATATGGCTACAATCATTGTAGCATATGAATAATGCTTTACACATAAAACCAATAGCAACAAAGTCCCTAATGAACTGCATGGGAGTCACTATAATCTCTCCCTATAATGTGGGAGAACATCCTTGGTGACTTGGGTGGGGAGAGAAGAGATGGACTTGGGAATAAAAATTATGTTTGAACTCTGCACTTATGAAGAATGGCATTCTTGGGGAGGAAGATTATACAACATTTTTAAAAATGTTCAGACTCTGGATTTACTTGATATACCCAGGTCCTACATGCTCATGGTGGCCTAAGCCATATAAAAAGCAGGCAGCTGCATTTGCACCAACTGGAGCTCGTACATTGTCTTCACTTTCAATTTCAGGTATAGTGATCTACAGTAACTAAGTTAGCTGGTGATAAATGCATGAATCACTGTAGCCAGGTCTTTGGGAGAAAAGGACAAAGTTTCCTAAATAGCTGCAAGTGAAATATGACATTTTAGGAAACTACTGCTACCTGGTAGTTTAAGTCTAGAGAGGAGTCAAACAGGACCCCGAGGTTTCAAATCACTGACAAATGGATACTGTTTGCTATCAGTGAAAGGTGAAGACAATGTCTTGGTCACATCTTTAAATCACTTCTCCTTTCCATCACCTTCATCTTGTCTGAGTTCAACCTGAGTCAGCTGCTCTTTATCCAAAGACTAGTTTCAGATATTTTAGTTGGATTGTGGCTGCGTCAATTGAGAGTGAGCTATACAGCTGAATGTCACCAGCATGCTGTTGGCAGAGAAGCCTACGGTGTCTCATCGCTCCCAGTAGTCTTGTCTACGTGCTGCAGATGTGGGATATTCTGTACCCCTCTGGAACCTTACAAGTAGGAGCCTTCAGAGAGGAAAAGCTCTTATTTCTTACCTCTCTGAGTGCCACAAGAGAGTACTGTAATGTGGACAGTACTTTGTGGTCCTCCACAAAAGATTGCAGAGAGGTCCAGCAGTATGAGCATGGAAACCCCAGATGTCATTTAGTGCAACTAGCGCAGCATCTGTGGTATGCCCTGGTCTCAACCAGTCAGGCTATTGAATTATGTCACTAGAGCTTGATAGTTACTACTTTCTCAATTACTCAGGAACAGGAAGATGGGACAGTGGCTAAAGATATCTTCAGCATGTGCTTTTCTGAATTGCATCCTACTAAGATAACTCGATTCTAACATAGCTGTTAATGATTTCATAGTGTGTTTGTTCAAAATGCAAATGTTTCTCTTGTATCTTGGGGTGGGTTTTTCAAGAGTGAGAGTGAGAGTGACAGATTCTCTCAGTGTCACATTCCACGTCTAGAAGGGATCACTGTGATCATCTAGTTTGATCTATCTAATGAAAAATAATTCCTTGAGCGTATCTTTAAAAAATAAAACAAAACATCCAGTCTTTGTTTAAAAATAGGCAGACACAGAGAATCCATCATGACCCTTCGAACATTGTTTCACTGGTTAATTACTTAGTTATAAATTTACATCTTACTTCTACTCACTTTATCTAGTTTCAACTTCCAGCCATTGCATCGTGTTACACATTTCTTTGCTAGACTGAAAAGCCTATTATTAAATATTTGTTCCCATGTACCTACAAACTGGTTAGGTCACATCTTAACCTTTTCTTTGTTAAGCTAAGTAGATCGAAACTCCTTGGCTGTGTCTACACTGGCCGCCTATTACGGAATAGGCATGCAAATGTAGCACTTTGGAAGAGGCAAATCCGCAGGGGATTTAAATATCCCCCGCGGCATTTGCATTTTCATGGCCGCCGCTTTTTTCCGGCTTGGAGATAAGCCGGAGAAAAGCGTCCAGACTGGCGCGATCCTCCGGAATAAAGCCCTATTCCGGAGGATCTCTTATTCCTACTTGCAAGAGATCCTCCGGAATAGGGCTTTATTCCGGAGGATCGCGCCAGTCTGGACGCTTTTCTCCGGCTTATCTCCAAGCCGGAAAAAAGCGGCGGCCATGAAAATGCGAATGCCGCGGGGGATATTTAAATCCCCCGCGGATTTGCCTCTTCCAAAGTGCTACATTTGCATGCCTATTCCGTAATAGGGGCCAATGTAGACGTAGCCCTTGAGTTTAATGCTATAAGATGTGTTTTCTAATGCTTTAGTAATTTTTGAGCTCTTCTCTGAAACCTCTCTTATTTAACAACACCCTTCCTGACTTGTGGACACTAAAACAGGACTCAGTATTCCAGCAACAGTCACACCAGTGCCAAAATTCAGTGGAAAATAACCTCAGAATCAGTAACGATAGTCTCCCATTCTATAAGGATGGCCTACATTCTTTGTTGCTAGGTGTATATGTTTACATTTAGCCATATTAAAACACACATTGTTTGTTTTGAGCCCAGCTTACAAAGAAATCCAGATCAGTCTATATGAGTGATCTGTTAATTTACAACTCCCCAAATTTTTGTGTCATCTGCAAATTTAATCAGTGATGAATATGTGTTTTCTTTCATGTCATTGATAAAAATATTCAAGAGTTGTGTCAAGAACTGATCCCTATGTGACCCCATGAGGAACATGCCACTTCAATAATGATTTCTTTTTTACAGTTAGTTTGAAATCTACCATTTTAATCCATTTAATGTATGCCAAGTTAAAAAATCTACCAAGATATAAAATTATCAAAATGGCACATAGTTCCAATTCTTACAGATATCTAAGTATACTAGAACAACTTTATTACTTTCATTAACCAAACTTGTAATCACATTAAAAAAGTTTCTAAGTTAAGTTTGACAGGCTCTATTTTCCATAAATGGATTTTAACTGGCATTAATTATATCACCCTTCTTTAATTCTTTATTAATGCTGCTCCATTATCTTGCCCAGAATTCCTGTCATACTGAGAAGCCTAAATTACTTAGGTCATAATGTTTACACTTTTAAATATTGGCACAACATTAGCTCTCATCTTCTAATGTTGTCCTGCTTATACAAGATAAAAATGTTCACTGTATAATGCAGGAGGTACAAATGACAGCCTGTGCTAAAAATATAATTTATTCTAACTTAAAAATGGGTTACAATTTAGTGGGAAATGGCTTTTCAGTTTTAAATATACAAATCTGCATTTACAGTAAATAAAAAAAGTTGATCTGTGAACTCTGCAAGCAGTTCAACTGCATAGATACCAGAATATGGATGCAGCAGCCATGCGCCCTACGACATAAACAAATATCTATTTTTAGTAAGTGCGTGGCTCTTCAAAGTCCCGGCAAGTTTCTACATATATATCTATAAAATTTTTAACTTTGAAAAACCTTATACTTTTTTCTATAAAAATGGGAAAGGACCAAAGTTATCAGCTCCGTGTTCATTGATGTGATCTCACACATTTCTACAAAACTAAACAGACACAGCAAAAAAATATATATATATATCCAACACTGATGACTATATGCTGTGCTAAAAATGATTAAAGGATTAGAGGAAAAAAGAAACCAAGTAACTCACTTAAAATAAAACAACTCTCAAGTGTTTCTGTGGGGGAGGGAGCAGAAGAGAAGGACTATGCAGAAAGAGCAGAAATCATACATGAAAGCACATCTTAATTAATATCCCTTTTACTTGGCTATGTCTGTCAGATTCAAAACAGAAGACTTTTGTTGCATTTCAAATTAATGGGTGTTTTGTTCCGAGTCCTTTGTCAAGCTTAGTTGTTTAAATTGGTAGTAATATTATCACACAATTTCCTTGTCATCAATAGTTACCAACATTAAACAAGATAGAATCTATTAGCACTGTTTATAGTTCACTGAAAATTGATTATTGTTTCATATGTAAATTCATACCTATTGGGTGAGCTGAACAATCAATAGCTCAAAAATGTCAGCACTCTCAATTATCTCCCCGAACTGCAATGTAAATTACCAAATAAATGATGAATCACCTCTAGAAATTATGTTGCTCATATTCAACTATCTGTAATTGGCACTTTATATAACCTTTTATGTTACAAGATTTAATTGATCAATACAAAAAGCTGGATGTTTCTATAAGGTGAAGTAAACACTGTTCTAACTGCATTTCCCTGAAACGATATTATTAATAATTTGATATGTCTAAAATACACTTACCACTTCCACCGTGTGTAGTAAGTCCCTCATCTTCAAAGATATCAAAGCCCTCCTGTCGACTCTGAGTTGTTTCATTTTTTAATATCTCAAGTGGCATTCTCAAGATGGTAAGATTATATTGTAGGGAGTGTGACAGATCATAGCTATAGCTAAAACCAAGATTTAAATTTAGTAAAAATTATGAGAGCATGGAACACCTCTGAAAACCCTTGTTCTCTACATATATTGTTATTTAATGCTGTGTAGACTATTTGGAGTAAAACAGCAAATGACACTGCAACTAGACAAATACACTGTAATTACATAAAAGGTAGCTTACTTACACAGAGGATCTTGCAAACAACACATTACAAGATAATGGCACAATGACTTAAACATTAATAAACAAACAACTGAGACTGAAGATTTCTCAGTAACAAAGAATGACTACAGTCACTCAGTCCGGACATGAGCCACCCTTTGTCCTTAATAGACACACAGAATTATAGACTACTAGAATAGAAAGGGACCTCAAAAGGTCATTAAGTCCAGTCCCCAGTCCTCACAGCAGGACTAACTACCAACTAGGTCATTCTTGATAGATGTCAGCCAGCCTGATCTTAAATATCTCCAATGATGGAGATTCCGCTACCTTCATAGGCAATTTATTCCAGTGCTTAACCACCCTGATAGTTCGGAAGTTTTTCTAATGTCCAACCTAAACCTCCCTTATTGCAGTTTGAGCCCACTGCTTCTTGTCCTATCCTCAAGAGAAGAATTTTTCTCCCTTGTCTTTGTAACACCATTTAAAGTACTTGAAAACTGTTATCACAGCCCCTTTCAGTCTTCTCTTTGCTAAACTAAACAAGCCCAATTCTTTCAGTTGGCCCCCATAGGTCATGTTTTCTAGATATTTAATTTTTTTTTTTGCTCTTCTCTAGACCTTCTCCAATTTATCCGCATCTTTCCTGAAATGTACTGTCCAGGAAGGACGTTAGATATTGTTTAATTGAATAATCGTGTAACTGCACCAAATCTTACCAGTTACATGATTATTCAATGGTCCCCAGGCATGGGGCCAGCAGCCAGTGCGCTCCTGATCCCACTCCCAGGGGGCCCTCTACCATCCCTCGCTGCTGCCTCTGAATCAGGTGGGAGCCTGATACAGAGGCAGCAGTACGGCTCTGCCATCCCATGAAGCAGCCTCTGTACATGGCAAACAGGGGCCCGCCACAGACAGAGGCTGCCCCTCCATCACACCTGGTCCCTTGCTGCACTGCTATCTCTGCTACAGAGGCAGCAGCATGGGGAGGGAGGCAGCTCTGCGAAGCTGGTACTTGGGGGAAGCCGGCTTAAAAACCTGCTTGAGCCAAGAATGTCCTCTGTAGGAGGCAGCAAGGAGGAGGCTGGCAGCCCCACAAAGCCAGCACGCATGGATAGCCAACTTAAAAGCCAGTTCCTTGGGCATATGAACTCCCAACTGTCTCCCCAACCCTCATGCTGCTGCCTCTGGAAGATAGGCAGCCCTCAATCACCAATGGGAACATCTTTGCCAGCTCATAATAGCAGACGATGCAGGACGTGATCCACAATGATATTTTCTGAGCAGACACCAGGCAAACCTTCTTCATGTTTGTGACAGCAAACAAACAACTGCGTAGAAGGCGAGGGCCCGTCTGATGTCCAGGGCATGCAATCTCATCTGTTGCATAAAGCTTTGGACAAAAGACTGGCAAGAATATGTCTTGATCAGTAAGAAACTGTGAGAGAACTCTAGGCAGAAAGGCTTGGTGTAGATCCAGCTGGATTGTGTGAGGCAGTTTTGATGTAAGCACCCTGATCTTAGAAACAACTGTACAATCTGAAGTAACAAGGAAAGAAGCCAGAAGGAGGAGGAAGACGGGGGCTCAAAGAAGGAGAACTATGAGTCTTGACAGAACAAAATTCAGGTCCTAATCATGCTGGAAAATGCTCTCCAGGCCTTTCAGGAACGGTGCTATTATGGGGTAGGCAAAGATAGACCTGTCTTGAAATGGAGAGTAGAACACTGAAATGGCTGCCAGGTGCACCTTCACTGAAGACACTAACAGATACTGAAGCTTAAGGTGCAGCAAATAATCCAGGACATCTTGCCTCTTTTTCATGGATATGATGATGATGTGATATGCAACACATGAACTGCTTCCACTTTGCCACACAGGTAGCCCTGGTAAAGGATTTTCTGCTGTCGAGAAAAGGACCTGCTGGACATCAGCGGACCACCACTGTTCATCCCCACTTAGCCACACAGCAGCCAAGCTGTCAAGGGCAGCACCTTAGGCTTGGGTGCACCCAACTGTTATGGTTCTAGGACAGCAGATCTGGTCAAAGCAGCAGCTGTAGGGGGGTGGCTGCAGTAAGACTCAGCAACATACTGCTCAGGCAATGCTGAGGCTTCAAGGATGATAGTAGCTTCGTCTTGCTTCACCTTTAGCAACATTAACAGCATTTGCAGGAAGGTGCATAGCAGAACTCTTGACAATGGAATCAGGCATGAGTTCAACTCGGAGCCCTTGTTCCTGCCCTGCAGAGAGCAGAACATGCGGCACTTTTTTGTTCTGCTGTGAAATGAACAGATCTATCAGGGGAGACCCCAAACTGCAGAACATTAGGCTGACCATCTCCAAATGGAGCAATGATTAGTGGTAAGACAAGGTCCTGCTCAGGTGATCCACAGGACATTCTTGGCTCAAGCAGGTGGTCTGCTCTGATTAAGTATGGCAACTCCTAGGTTTCTAAACATTAAACTAAGCTAACACTTCAAAAGCTACTAAGTTCTATTAAACAAGTCCAAGATAGTGATTGCAAAGAAATTAGCAAAGCCTTTCAGCCCTACAATGTTGAAAAATTCACAGGACCTACATCTTAAAGTGACAGCATTCTATATTTAATTTGAATCAGACTTTAAGAAAAACAAAGTAATTTTTAAGCCACTAGATTTCCCTTTCTTAGTGGGACTTCAAACTATGTTGCAAACATTTCTAAAGCAGCAATACAACCCATGGGACCAAAACAGAAACTGAAGTTATCTGTTTTTATGGACAGTTGAAGTTTTAGGGTCCTAGGTCTTCTGGTAAGTTTTAGTTACTAATTAATTACAACTAAAGAATTGATTACAACATAATTTCATTTTCATTTTTCACACACTGATATGAAGAGGTTGGTGTTGCTAACCAGCTCTGGCCTATGTATCTGTTTTACCCATCAAAAAGTATAGCTTGATAGATCTTATAGCTGTAATCCTCCATTTTTGTCTTTTTTATAGGCAATTTTGTGTATGACCGGCTCTTTTAGTGATATTCTTCTACAAATTCTGCCCAGCGTGTTATTCCACTTTGCCTTCAGATTCTTGTGTGTTGGAACAGAAGTCCTTTTCCATATAACATTGTGAAACACATTATATGATCCTTTGGCACATTACACCTTTATAGAATTCCCACTCTAAGAATCAAATATAAATATCTGTAAAATGAAAGGAGGATTATAATGGGGTGCACTCACCTGTTGCGAGCACCCCTGGGCTGAGTGCATGTGTATGCACTCTTTCTGTTTGTGTGTGTACCCTTCAGGGAACAAAACCAACAGAGCCTCTTTAAGTTGTCTTCACCATCTTACAGGTTGGCCATTATCCAGAATAGAGCGGTGCACAGGGCTCCTTCCCTGAGAGTAACACATTTACCTTCTCAGAGCCTCTCTGGCCCTAGCTCTTCAGCTGGGTCACTATAATTCAGTTTTCTGCCTTAGGGGTGCCTCACTGTCTAGGCCAGTGGTCCCCAACGTGGTGCCCGCGGGTGCCATGGCGCTCGCCGGGCCATTTATGTGCGCCTGCGGAGCAATCTGGGGCAAAAGAGCTTGGAATACCCCTGGGGGTGGTTTCAAGTGTTACCCCTGGTTTTTAGGGATAAAAATCACTTGATGGTGGCAGCAATTCCCCAAAATCTGTGTACTGTGATTCTGGGGGGAAGTTTTTTGTAACCAGTGCCTACAGAGGCAAAGGTTTTAAGCTCTTTTCTGGATCTTCTGCACTCAAGAGAGCCAGAGTGAGATACAGCCCTGACAACACTCTTTGCTTTGTTTTCTGCAATACATTTCTCTAGTCCTTCAATCAACAGCTGCCAGACTGTACCATTATCTCTTCCCCACTTTTCTGCTACTCCAGAATTTCTCTCATATCTAGGAGCAACTAGGACAAGACAGAGCAAACCAAAGTAGCATTACATATGGGGCTGAATGAAAAGGTATATAAAATGATCACACACAAAGGAGACACACCCAAATACAAGTACTGTAAAGTCCATATGAATTACTTTCTCTTTTCTGTGCTCCTGAACTCAAATAAAGCTTTATTTCTAAAAATGAAAAATATTAGGAAAGGTAAAAATTGAATTGGAGTCTCCCCTTATCTGACTCTTGAGAAGATGATGGTGAGAGGAAAAGAACTCTGCCCTCTGGAAAGCACGAAAATCCTTGGCTCTACATTTATTGCCATATATTTTACTAGATACAGAGAAGTTAAGAGTCTGCCTATCAGCCTGTATTGGATGCAAACAGTCATGGGAGAATAGTGAGATTTTGATATGTCAATGTTTTGTAGACCATATTGTTCCTTTTCTGCAGCTAGATAGAACACTTCGGTCTTTAAGGCTATCACCATAAAACAAAACTAAAATTGAAAAGAAAAATAATTTATGCATTTTTAAAAAGTCAGACCGTGGAAAGTTGTATTACAAAAAATTCAGTTAATCTCCTTTAACTTAATAGTCATCATTCATTTCAAAGTGAGTCCAGGTAAAATTTGAAATCAAACTACAGAAAACTGAGCTAAGCTACAACAAAATTAAAGCCAAGATTTTAAGAAATCTGCTAAAAAATATATTATAATAATCAGTAACTGTTAAAACTTACCTAAAATAAAAATTGCTAGACAGATCCACATTTTGAAATATTCGTAGATATCTAAATAGAGTAACACAGATAAGGAAAAAATATTATTCCCAAACAGCAACTTCTCTTTAGCATGCACAAAAGTGAGGCAGTGAATAATCAGTTTAAGAACCACCCTAATCATGATATGTGAAAGTCTACTCATTGTGATGAAATGTTCCCCTGTCTGTATTTTGGCAGTGTTTTATTAATCATTGTAATTCTGCTGGAACACTGGAAAATCTAACTTTGACAAATCTGATATTGTTCTAGACTATATTTATCTATTGTTTGAAACTTGTATCTCACGGGTTTTTTATTGTTATTTTAGACCACTATGGATCCATCCCTCTTGCAATTTCATCAACTCTTTTATGCATTCTGGGCCAAATTCTGCAGTGTTTAGCCAATTAAAACAAACTCCAATAGATAAAATAGTAAGGAGGAGGTAGGCCTGACCTACATGAGCAGGCTTTAAAAGCCAGAGGCAGAGCGATCAGGGGAGCGAACTGGACAGGGGGCTGCAGACAGGGGAGTTTGAAAGAGGGAGGCCTACTCTGGTTAGGAAGACCCGCAACACCTCTGCCAGCACTTCTCCTATCTCCTCTGCTTGCGTTTGTAGCCAGAAAGACCACCTGATCATGGATGCCTCTACCCAGATCCTGGTGTGGTTTTGCAGGGACTGTGGCTTGCAATTCCCACTTACTGAAATCCAGGCTGCGGGACGGTGGGGGGTGGCATCCAATGTGAAAAGTGCCTGCTGGTGGAATTTCTCAGGAAGCAGGGTGGGAGAGCTACTCTATCCAATGTGATAGAACAAATGAAAAATCCACAAGGAAGGAGTATTGCTGAAAGGGATTTAGGAGTCATAGTGGATGACAAGTTAAACATGAGTCAACAATGTTACACTTTGTGGATTGCCTTACAAGATTCCGGAGGCATACTCCACAAATAGAACTTTTAATGGTAGCTCTTTCTTTTGTTAGTAAATTCCTACTCTTTTGGGAATTGTTCAAGATGGGGGTCATTGTTTAGTTGCTGTTCATTTAGCCTCACTTCAGCAGTAAGGGCCAAATTCTGTGCTGCTATTGTCAGTGGATGCAGCAGAGAGGCACTTGTGAAGATTAGGATTGAGCTTGTTTCAGTGCCACAGCTCTACCTTATAGCAGCCTCTCCATGATTGTCTATGGATTTTTCTATAGCAGAGCACTATGGCTATGCCCCTTGTTACCTCTATCCCAACCATGAATGAATGGCCAGTATGCCCCTCTGGTAGGGACTGTGAGGGGGACAGGACAGTCCTGTGCATGCCATCCCATCTTGCTCTTACATTGGCGGGGGGGGGGGGGGGGGGAGGGGATTAGAACCTCCATCCCTGGAGATATTTAAGAGCAGGTTAGACAGACACCTGTCAGGAATGATCTAGACAGTGCTGGGTCCTGCTGTGAGGACAGGGGACTTGACTCAATGACCTTCAAGGACCCTTCCAGTTCTAGTGCTCTATGATTGAAGAACTGCAGGATTTAGTGCTGTCTCCCAAACAAAGGAACCATTCTCTCTTCTGTTGCAACATGCTGTTTGCCTAAATATTCTCTGGGTCTCAAGGACACTGTAGGAAAAGTTAAAATTAACTGAACTTCCCAAAAGGCAAAATATTATGTACTTCTATATCATGGTGTAGATAACGTGATAATGTTTAATAATGTATGTCATATTCATGTGTCCTTTTAGTTTCTAAGCAGTATTGATGTGTATTACTTCTGTATAACTATAATGTGCTCTAATGTGGAAACTTACTTAATGGTTACCATTAGCTTGATCTATTGCCTGAAGTTAGTTTATGGTGATGTGTGCAACCTTCAGTTAACTTTCACAGTGCACTGAAAATGCTATATTTGTTGGACCTCAAAAAAAAGTTATTTCTGCTCCTGCCAAAAATGAAGCTGGGATATATTTAGACATTATTCAAGACTATAATTTCAGAAGGCCACATTCCTTCCTCCTTGAAATATTGTGGGAAGGAAGTACTCACCAAACCCACTCAGTTTATGAGAAGTCAGTTTCACTGAACCTTGACAAGTGCATAATACTCCCTGCCTCAACCCTAAGGGTATGTCTAGACTACATCCCTCTGTTGGCAGAGGGATGTAAATTGGCTACCACAGCACTTTGTCGACAAAAAGCAGCAGTCTAGGGGAGGAGGTATAAAGGATCGGTTGGAAAAGGCTTTCTTTTTTGACTGATCCCCCTCTAGACTGCCACTTTTTGCTGACAAAGTGCCGCGGCGGCAAAAAGCGGTGGCCATTTTTATGCTAATGAAGTGCAAGATATTTAAATCCCCACTTCATTAGCAATTTCGGTATGTCTAATTTACATCCCTCTGCCAACAGAGGGATGAAGTCTACACATACCCTAACTCTTACCCTTAACACCAACACTCCAGACGGGTTTGATGGAATGCTGCTATTGAATTTTCTCCCCAGCCATGCCATCCTTTTGATGGAGTGCAAGTGACCCTTTCCAATGAGGTTTACATGGCTTCACAGGGGATCTAATATAATTCAAACAACTGGTATATTAAACAGCATGTGCACTGACATGTTCCCAAATGAACTAATGTGTGGAGTGGATGGTTTCTGGTGATTATCCAAGCCACACACCCTTGTTTGACATATAAATAACCTAGCGGTGCTGGCAGAAGCTATGGAGGGGCATGACACATCTGCACTCCCCCTCTATGCATACTCTATTTACCTTGCATTATGATTCTCCACTCCATTACATCAGTCTGTCTCCATTTAAGCCAATGTTACTTCAACATAAAGCTAGCATAAAGGGCTGGAGAAATAAGTTCAGTGTTCAACAAACTGGTGTCCTCTGATATATGTGACTGATGGGAGTCTACAAGCCTTAGTTTGCAGTGTTTCCTGGTCAATTAAAAATGCTATGTAAAAGCACAATCTACTACCACCATTTACCTTGTTTCATCAGGATGAGTGACTCGTACAGAGTCATTTGGAATGTAGATCATATTTGTATCTTCTATTTTGTATATTGCATGCCCTCCAATATCTGCCATCTTTCTCCTCTTTGTTATTAGCACAATGTAGTAGCCTTCTAAAAATCTAACAAAACCTGTTCAAAATGGAAGAAATACAAGAAATAAAAACCCATTTATCATGAGTACTCTGATACAATGTTTAGAAGGATAACATCAAGTATTATTTCAATACTTTACGCAATAGTAAATTTTTCTAAGCATTTAAATGCTCTCTGTTTTTAAAGCACAATGGTACTCACTTTTATTCAACTCTTACTTTGTTAAAAAAGTAAGCATCTAAATCAGCTTCAGCCCTCCTCTCCCAAAAGAAGAATCAATTGCTTAAAGTTCGGGGGACATAAGGCATTTGAGAGGCTCTGACCCTACTTCTTGGTATCAGGAAGAAGCTCCGATCCCTGCTGACAGACTTCTGAGAAAGAATCCACTAAGGCTCTCTCACCATCACTGCCGTGGGGCAGTAGCAAAAAGGTAGCTCAGAAGAGAAGCTACCCCAGCACCAATAAAGTGGCAGAGGGGCCAAGTACAGCCATCTTTGTCTGTACTCATGGAAAAGTCTGTGCCCCATGCAGGGCACAGAATTCTTGCTTTCTGCAGATTTCTTTGCTCCCCTGCAGAAAAAAAAGGGGACTTGAAGAAATCTGGGGGGAACACAGACCGCCTTCTGCAGCAGCTCAAGTGTGTCCACTGGGAAGAGCCAGCAGCAGAGAGCAGATCACAGTGGAGGGTGTGGGGGTGAAAGTGGCTGGCTGGCCTGCCTGGGTGCATCCATGGAGAGATATTAAGGGGATGGAGCTGGTGCCTGCCTGCAGGGCCAGCTGTAGGTTTTTTATTGCCTCAAGCAAAAAAATTTTTGGCCGCCCCTCCCCCCCGTCCCACTGCTGCAGGACAGGCACTGAGAAGGAAAGCACCCCTTTTACCTTGCGGCTCTGACTCCCACCACGCCCTCCAGCCAAAACCAGCCTACATCCGGTCTCCTCACCCACCCACCGAACCCAGTTTCCACCTTCTCTCCCTTCCCTGAGCGGACCCAGTCTGCCCCCCTTCTGTCCTCCACCTAATCCACCTTGCACCTTCTCTTCCCTCTCAGCCAAACCCGATCCCTCCCCCCACCGGACCCAGTCCGCTCCCCTCTCCCACCTACCTCCACTGACTGAACTCCGTCTCCTTTTCCTTTCCCCGCCAAACCCTCATGTCCCCTCCCCGCAACATGCGCGGAAACATCGGAGCGCCCTGGGGGAGGGGTGAAAGTGGAATGCGTCCCCCTGGGGATGCGTGCAGACACAGCTGGGAAACTTAACTCCCTTCCCTGAGCGGACCCAGTCTGCCCCCCTTCTGTCCTCCACCTAATCCACCTTGCACCTTCTCTTCCCTCTCAGCCAAACCCGATCCCTCCCCCCACCGGACCCAGTCCGCTCCCCTCTCCCACCTACCTCCACTGACTGAACTCCGTCTCCTTTTCCTTTCCCCGCCAAACCCTCATGTCCCCTCCCCGCAACATGCGCGGAAACATCGGAGCGCCCTGGGGGAGGGGTGAAAGTGGAATGCGTCCCCCTGGGGATGCGTGCAGACACAGCTGGGAAACTTAACGGGCAAGGCCAGGGACACCTCTCTCCCTCCCCCCACAAAATATCTGAGCCGGGGCAGGCGAGGCCCCCTCCTGCAGCTCCTCAGTGCCAGACTAACTAGATCAGGCTGCAAAATAGCTCTCCCCTCCCCACAACCTAGGTGCCTCTGCTTGAAACATCCTGGCCCGGATAGGGCCTTCCTTCTGCCCCAGGCCCTTCCTGCTGCCCGGCCCCACTAAGGCTGCAGCTCTCCCCTCCCTCCACGACCAGCACTGAGGCAGAGAAAAGGGGGAGAGAGTTGCCCCCCATTTGCCAATATGAGCTACCTTCCCCCCCACCCCTCCCACACACACACTCCAGCAAACTCCTTGGCCAAGGGCGCCCGCTCAGGCTGGAGGGGTCACTAGTAAGCGCAAGGCAGGTGGAGAGATGACTAAAGGCATTTGGCTCGCAGCATGGGCCCTGACTGCAGTGACCTGGGCTGCCCCTTGCCCAGCCCCGGATCGCTCTGTGCAGCCTTCCCCGCACAGCCCGGGGAGAGCAGCTCGTCCACAAGGGCCGCAGCACTCCGGCACCGCTGCTGTTCTCAAAGCCCATGGTGCACCCCCCTGCACGTCGGGCTGTGGTGGCTGGTGCCAGTCAGAGGAGCGCGAACTATCCCCGGGCGCCGGAGTCTGCTTTCTGGGAGGCTCCCTCAGGCATTTCCCGCTTTGCGGTCGCTGGGTGCTGGGCAGCGGCAGCTGAGCCAGGAAGGAAACTGGAGCGGCGCATGGCCCAGGCCCCTGTCCGGACCCC